GGAGTAGTTTATTTTTTAATTTTAATCTGATGACGTGACTTAATATTGCAGCTCAGTTATCATGAAACAGGTGGAGAATCAAGGGTTGATCCACGGATGGGTCAGTGGAATATGATTAATAAGGTGCCCAAAATTTTTATTTCGCCATTGGTTTATAGGTTGATGATCATCCACTTCACGAGTGTTATCATTTTGTTAATTTGCTAGAGTCTGTTAGTTCACTTATTTGTTTGGAGTTGATTAGGAATTTAGAACATGATTATATTTTATTTGTTTTCCCTTTCCCATCGTCCTCTTGGTATAATTCTTATTGAGTTTTCTTTTCGTTTATAATCTATTATGGGCCCTTTCGATGAAGGGAATGAGATAGGAAAGAAGATGGGAATGGAGGAGGGATATATCATTTAGCTAAATAAAATTTATGAATTAATCTGATCTCAAAAATACAGACGTTATTTGTTCCTATAAAAATTTGATAATTTTTCCATTGTGTTTTCTATGATTCTTAAAAGTATTATTCTCAAACATCTTATTCTTTGGGTACCTATGAGCATTCTGTGAAACTTAAAATTGAATGGCCCTTTGTTATTGTTCAAGACATTTTGTTGTAGTTATGATATAATTTTGCAACTTAGCTTTCAACTGTTAATGGAAGTATTTGATATACCTTTTTTGTGAAGTGAAAATATGTTGTTTTGATCAACTATTTTAACCTTATTCTTGTGGTATATTAGAAAATGATCAATGGTGGTACAGTAGAACATTGGGCATGTGTGACTTTCTCCTCACGGTTGGATAAAGATTTGCCATCTGAATTTTGCAAGCAGTTGGTTAACATGTGCAGAAGCAAAGGAATTGTAAGAACTATGAACTTCCTTTTTTGATAATGTGTTAACATGTCCTGGTTCGTTCTTGATAATGTATTAATACGCTTTGAGATCTATTGGAAGGCTTTTGCCCTTGCTCCGTTGTTTCCCATACGTGCTGCACATCCAAATCAAATTGACACTACGCTTAGAGGTATTCATAAGGACTCTGTAAACATTTTGGGACCCAAGGGCAAGTCTCTTCAGCTACTCATAATTATTTTACCTGATGTTACTGGTTCTTATGGTGAGCTAATCTTTTCTTCATTAGAATATTATTCTCATTAAATACATTCATGTGGGTGTTATCTTAGGCAACTCTTAATTGTGTTGGTCCCTGCAGGGAAGATTAAAAGGATTTGCGAGACAGAACTCGGAATTGTTTCACAATGTTGCCAGCCTAAGCAGGCACAGAAGCTAAACAAGCAATATTTTGAAAATGTGGCTCTTAAAATCAACGTTAAGGTTTGTGTGCTCTCTATTAGAGTTGAGATTATCTTTATAACTTCATTTGATTAATCGTTTTAAGCGAACAAAAAATCTATATAGGTTGGGGGAAGAAACAATGTCCTAACTGATGCTATTCTTCGGAAAATTCCTGTTGTCTCGGAGAAGCCTACAATAATCTTTGGAGCAGATGTCACGCACCCGCAACCAGGAGAGGACTCTAGTCCTTCAATAGCAGCTGTAAGTTCTGCGTGCTTAATTTTCTATTTTTTATATGGTTGTTTTGGTGAAGGCGTAAATGGTTACTTTCAGGTTGTCGCCTCCATGGACTGGCCTGAGGTAACAAAGTATAGGGGTATTGTTTCAGCCCAAGCTCACCGTGAAGAAATTATACAAGATTTGTACAAACAATTTGAAGATCCTCAAAGAGGGTTGGTGCATGCAGGGATGATTAGGTAAGCAGCTGCAGAATAGTTATCTAACGTTTGAAAACTACTGAAAACGATATCGTTTTTTTCGGTCTTTTCTCGACTATTTTTATATTTATTTTTTGGTTGCCAGGGAGCTTTTCATTGCATTTAGAAGGTCAACGAATTTGAAACCGCACAGAATAATATTCTACAGGTCTGTTATTTTTTTGTATTTTGGAGAATAAATGAATGAAGCTGGATTAAATCCCATTTGTTTGATGATATTGGTTATACCATTGACAGAGATGGTGTAAGTGAGGGACAATTCTCTCAAGTTCTACTTTATGAGATGGATGCAATCAGGAAGGTACGATAGTAGTAAAAAATTACCATTGATCTTCATAAAGGACTAACTAAACTAGTCTTTGTTCTTGAGTCAGGCATGTGCCTCCCTTGAAGCGGATTACCAACCTCCGGTTACCTTTATAGTCGTGCAAAAGAGGCATCATACTCGTCTTTTCCCCACCAGCCGCGATACTGATCGGAGTGGAAACATCCTTCCGGGTTATTAATCTTATCTAATTTGTGGTTTTTGGAAGATGATTCTTGATTCATGAGTTATAATTTAGATTATGGTTCTTGTATTTGATGATAGGTACTGTTGTTGATACCAAAATTTGTCATCCAACTGAATTTGATTTCTATTTAAACAGCCATGCCGGCATACAGGTTGCGAATCTTTCACCATTTTTACATATGTACTCACCACGTTCTTTCTGTGTTGGTTGAAATCTAAATTGACCTTTTGTTCTGTGTAGGGAACGAGTAGACCGACACATTATCACGTTCTATTCGACGAAAACAATTTCAGTGCGGATGCGATGCAAATGCTTACCAATAATCTATGCTACACGTAAATATTAAAATTGTTCTCATCAACTTTTATGTGTGCGATGCATGAATTATAGTGTTGGTGTTTTGTTGTTTCACAGGTATGCAAGGTGCACACGGTCTGTTTCCATTGGTATGATGTGTTTAAACTTTCTAATAACATAATCACTGAGTTCCCAGTTAAGTTAGCATTGGTTGGTTATAATGTTATAAAAAGTGTTGGTTTGGGTTTGGTTTGCAGTTCCCCCAGCATACTATGCCCATCTAGCAGCTTTTCGAGCTCGTCACTACATGGAGGGTGATGCATCCGATAGCGGTTCCACGGGTTTGGGCGGTGGGATTGTTCAGGTTCAGCAGATGCCGAACGTAAGGGAGAATGTGAAGGATGTTATGTTTTACTGCTGAAGGTGTTGTTGGGTTGGTTTGCTGTGGCTGGCTTTTGATGCACCTCTCCTTTTTAGGGTGGGTCTTATTTTGGTGCACTTATGAGTCCCTAAATTGGTGGAAGCAGCACGGAGGTAGAAAAATACTCTAAAAATACTCTTTTTGGGATTTTGGTTTTGGCTGCTCTGCTCTGCTCTGTTCTTTTCTGCTTCTTGTGGCTTATATTTTGGGGGGAATGGGATTACATATCACATATATAATACTCTACTTCTTGTGGGTGTTACTGTATGTGCATGTAAATACTACTAGTTGTATACCCAGGTTTTACTATCAACTATGCAAATTTTCTGATTTTAAGGAAAACCATATGCTAGTTTGTGGCACTATACATCTACTACACGTTTTCAATACTTTCTATACCTCTTATGATTATCGTAATATGATTTTTCTATCTAAACTTGACACTTTTGTTCGTTTTTTAGAATTCACTCTGAATCCTAAATGTACTATATTATTTATTTAATGAATCATCAACTTATTTGTGAAAAGAATTGAAAGATTTGGTAAAAAAATGAAATTCTTTTGGTGGATTTTTCCTTTCAAGTCATTACATATATGCTAGAATGGTATTGTAAAAAGGTGCAGAATCCAACTTTAATCAACATATTTAGGAGTATGTTAATGCCACTTTTTAAGGCTTTGAATTACAAACCGTCATGTGGGGTAAAAAAAACTTGGTAAAATTTACAACTATTTGAACATAAATATAGAATTTAAAATCAATTTTAAATATTCAAACCATAACACTGATAAAAAAAATAAAAAAAATAAAAAAAAAGGACCATTTTTTGTAGCTGCCCTATGTTCACTAGTGGCACCTATGTAGTTGCATGAGTGAGTAGAAAATATTCATTAACTAAGTTCTATGGCTCTAAACTAGCTTCTATATGACATGCACTTTTCACTACATCATATTTGCATAACTTGAGCTCTCATACCAGCGTGAGTAGATCATATTTGCATAACTTGAGCTCTCATACCGGCGTGAGTAGGTATGACTGGTGACCATGCACCTTTCACTACATCATATTTGCATAACTTGGGCTCTCATACCGGCGTGAGTAGGTATGACTGGTGACCATGCACCTTTCACTACATCATATTTACATAACTTGGGCTCTCATACCGGCGTGAGTAGGTATGACTGGTGACCATGCACCTTTCACTACATCATATTTACATAACTTGGGCTCTCATACCGGCGTGAGTAGGTATGACTGGTGACCATGCACCTTTCACTACATCATATTTGCATAACTTGGGCTCTCATACCGGCGTGAGTAGGTATGACTGGTGACCATGCACC